AAAAATTAATAAAAATATTTTTATAAAAAATAGAAATTCGTGTTTAATATATAAAAATTGATATTAATATATAATTATAAATTAAAATAAAAGTAAATAATAAAATTTATGAATATTTTATGGTAATATTTAATTTATTTGAGATGATATGACAGGCGTGCTTACATTCAACGCGCAAGTGGTTGTTTAATGAAATGTGGGAATTTGATTGATTAGTGATATAGAAAAGGGTGACGGCGATAATAAAACAACATATAATCCAATAACAAGCTACCGTAGGTGTACATTGGGCATCACTACAGGCTATCATTTAATTATGTTATCATTAGTTAATAAGTATTATAAATTTAGGTTGAGTGTGATGGAATCAAGTTATTTTATTACCATTTCATAAACTTAGGTCGAGTGAAAGGAATGGAATTATTTTTGTATTCAATCTTCAAATTAGAATATTTCTCTATTGTTTTGTGATTATGAAAAAAATGAATAATATTTTTATTTCAAAATCATATAACTTATTCTTTAATTAGCAGTGGTATGCTCTTATAATTTTAAGAAATAACATTTTATATCACTAACTAATTTATAAGATAACAGAAATTACTATTTTTATGTTAAAATTAATATTTCTTCAATATCATAAACCCTGTAGTGATAAGCATAACATAAATTAAAATTATTAGCAAACAAAAATATTTTACTAATTGTTTAGAAGTTAAAAAAATAAAAAAAATAAATTAAATGAATTTTAAAATTTATAATTAAATATAATTTTTTATTCATAAGAATTGAATATAACTTTAAAAATTGAAACAACTTGATTTGCACACATATGTGTTTGCGCTTTTTTTAAAATTCATATGAAAATTTCATAATTCTTATTGGATATAACAATTTTTAGAGTAATTAAAGATGATTATTTTATTTTGACTATAAAATTTATTTGATTGGTGAACATTTTGATGGATGGAATTTATTATTAATGGTCAAAGATGAGTTAATCATTAGAATATATAGGTTTAAAAAATAAATGATAAAAATAAAAAATAATTATAAATTGGGCTTTTTTGCTGTAAGACTTGTAAAACTTTTAGATATATTGAAAATAAGTTCCCCAATTGAAGCTAAGGAGCAAGAGTGGCTTAGGTTCACCTTTTAGTGTCAATATTTCAACCATAAGTTTGCTGACATTTTTAAGATTACCGTATTTGAAGTATTGTCCGCTTTGACATTCGTTGGATTATCATATTTTTTGTCCTTGAAAAGGTATCTCAATGTGTTATGGAGGAAGAGTGTTTGTAACTTACTCTTAATCTCGACTCTTAAGCGACGTGAGACTTTTAAACATACTAGAACAAACTCTCAATCAAGACTAAGGGACAAGAGTGACTTTGGTTCTTCATTTAATGTCAATGTTCCAACTATAAATTTGCATCGTCAATATCACAACGTTCGAGGTATTGTTCGCCTTGACAAGTGTTGAATCATTGTAGTTTTGTCTTTTAAAAGACGTCTTAATGAGTTAAGGAGGATAAATATTTATAAAATATTTTTAGTCTCAATTCTTAAACGATATGAGACTTTTTAGGCATATCAAAACATAACTCATAAAAAACTTATTTATTTACAAATTCATTCAAAACAGAATAAATCAGGTTTTCAATAAAGAAAGAAAAGAAGAAGATAAATTGTCTTATTAATGGTCATACAATCACTACTACATTTTAATTCTTTAGCATCATTTTCCTACTTACATTTGTTAAAATGTTAATATATATTGAACAAATAAGTTATTTTGCATCATTTTTTTTAAATGTTATTATAGATAGAGTAACATTTTTTTTTATTTCAATATTATTCTTTCTAATTATTTTCAAAATTAAAGTCTCATATCAAGTAAAAAAATGTCACATAAGTTATTTTGTAATATATTTTTTTTTGAAAAATGTTACTATAGATAAATATCATTTTTTTATATCTCAATGTTATTGTTTCTAATTATTTTTAAAATCAAAGTTGCACATCGAATAAAAAAATTCACATAAAAAGTATACTTCTCTTATATCTATTTGTTTCCCATAATTAAAATCTCATAACAATTAAATGAATAATTCATAAAGAGTATATACAATCATATGGTTATACTTAAACTTATTGAACTTTAATATTTGATATATAACTAGTAATGACTAATTAAGAATATCTTCAACTTTGTCTTAAAGAACATGCAAGAGCTTAGGAAACATAAAGTATAATAATTGATAGTAACGTTTATATTAAAACTAATTATTATTTTATAAAATTAAAAAGACTCGACAACATCATTAAAATATTATAAAAATATCATTTTAATAACATTTGAAAAATATTATCTATATAAAAGTATTATTAAAAGTCTTTAGCAACATGGATTATATACAATATTTGATAATATATTCCAAAAATAAATTAGTAACATTTATGCATAATTAGGTAATATTTTTTTTTAAATATTACTAAAAAGTGAATCAAACACAAATTGAAAACTATCATTCAATCTTCAAATAAAAGTTATGCCCATTCTTAAAAAAAATTTCAGGATGAAAATAAAATAAATCCTTAATTTTAGAGAGACATAAAACATATTTAAGTCAAATAAAAATTTGAAAAAATTGTTAAATAATTAAAAAAAATAACATTATACCTCACAATAATACTATAAATAAATAAATAATTATTAGTCACTATTCACCCAATTTTAATTTATAAAAATATAAATTATTAATAAAATATGATAAATCAATTATATATATAATCATGATTAAAAATTGAGAATCATAAATTTTAAAAATTTAAATTTAATTCTATATATTTATAAAATAATAATTAAAAAAATTACCGTATAAATATTAACAACAAAATTATTAGATATGATATTTTAAAGAGAAAAAAGTTATGAGATTTTTTTTATAATCATGGACTGTGAATTTCAGGAGGAAGAGATAAAAAAATGGAGAAGAAAAAAAAATTAAAGAGGAACAAATTTTTTTTGAAAGAGAAACGAAAATATGAATAATAAAAAAATATACAATTAATTTTTAGTGAAAAAATAAGAAAAATTTATTTATGTTGGTGACATGATTAAAACTTTGATATTTTTTTTGATAAATTTTAGCATAAATTATGAATATTATACTAAATAATTTATTAAAATAAATTTAAAATATCTTATATATGAACTACTAACAAGGTATTTTATAAATCTATTTTATACTCTACACTTATATAATAAAATAAATATAAATAAAATTTTCATAGTTTTTCCGAACAGAGATAGATACTTCAGTTTTTCGAACACAATGAAATTTTCTTATGCTTTTTCCCTTTTTATCACGTAACATATGACTTTGTAGCTTATAAGTTGATTTATTTTAATGAACTTGAGAGTACTATGATATTACTCTATTTCTTTTTAATTAATGAACTCCTTTTTTGAAATAAAATTTGTACAAACATTTTAAATGCATTAAAAATACTTGGTCAATATTTAAAAACATTTTGAATATTTGATATGTAAAATGCTTCATCCAAGTTGGTCAACAAATATAACGTATGAGAGATCATTCAAAAGGTATTGTTCGTATAGTGCATCAGACGCTTCTTTATAAAACATAATTTGGAAACTTAATTCAAAACAAAGATTTTGGATTGTTTGAAATCTTGTTATGTATTCAAATTTTCTTTCAAAAGCAAAAGCTATTATAAAATTGTCACTTGAATATATTTTTATATGTATAAAAAGTTATTATCTTAATGGTTACATTACATGTTATTAAGGATTGAGAGTTTAAATATTTTGTATTTATTTTGACAAGTGATATTATTATGGGCAAAAATATAATTTTTGTTTTTTATATTATTTATTAGTGTTAATTTAGTCTCACTTTAATTAATTGAATCAATTTAGTCTCATATCTTTAAAATATATCTTAATATTTAACTTTTCGCTTCATCTGTTTAAATACTTAACGGATGACACACGTGTCATGCCATCATATCACGTGACATGACACATGACATGACATGTAGCATGATGACATGATACGTGTCATGTCATCATGTTATGTGACAGATCCGTTAAGTAATTAAACAAAAAAATAGAATGTCAAACATTGAAATACATTTCAAAGATGTGAGACTAAATTGATTTAATTAATTAAAGTGTAGTTAAATTAATATTAATAAATAATATAAGGGGAAAAAAATGTATTTTTACCTATTATTATGTGTGAGAGGGAGATTTATATCATTTATGATATTAGTAACATTATTCTAATGATTAGATCGTAAACTTGAAAGCATGCAGTAAATTGAGTGGAGGAAAGGGTGTTGTTGAACCAAAGTATGAGTGGCCATAAATAATGGAAAAATAAAGAATACCTGGCGTGAAGGTAGCGATAGTATTTTTCGCCGCATAGAAGCGACGTGTAATGCGAATAGAGACACACGTGTGATGTGGTTTAGGAAATACCCACATCAACATGTTAGGTGCTTCTGGAACGTGGTGCAGAAGGAGTAGCACTTTCTGGAACACTGCGCAAATCCAAATTTTGTTTCCAAGACAACAGAAGGCGCATTTAGTTATCATCGAATGCAATCCAAGTTTATGTGTCGTTTTGTTTCTAATAAATCCTCGCTGTTATCGATCCATCGACCATCATCACCTATATTTGGAAGTTAACTATTTTTGGGAATTGGATAAGGATTTTTGAGTCTGCATTGCATTGCATTGCATGGTGTTTGAGTTTGAGGAAAGAATGGGAATGGATGGGAGGGGAGAGGCGGCGTTGCTTTTGACGTCCGGCGCCAGCGGACGGATCCGCGCCTTGTTCTCCCTCCGAGCCTTGAGAGCCCTGGTGGCCTTATTGAACGCCGTTGTTTTGGTCCTCCTCTCTCCCTTCCGAAAAGGGACCGTCCTCACGTCGCCGCTGGCCTGGAAGAGCCCCGCCGCTTCCACGTCCACGGGCAGGAGGGCGTTGGCCATTCGGAGAGTGTTGGAGGATTCCGATGCGGATACCTTGAGGGAGTACCGCCTCTTCCCAAGCTCAAGGGGTGACATCATTTTCACCCATTCTTGGATTCCCATTCCTCACCATAACACCAACACCTCTCTCCGGGGAATTGTTCTTCTTATGCATGGACTTAATGAACACAGGTTTCTATTTTCCTCCCTTCCCAACCCATTCATTATTCTTTTTTTCCTCATTACTCATTATCCTCACCATTATTCTTTCACAGTGGCAGATATTCTCCTTTTGCAAAGCAGCTTAATGCGAATGGTTTCAAGGTTTACGGCATGGATTGGGTTGGTAAGACAAGAATCATTCCTCAATTCTCATTATCATCATTAAACACTCATTTTCTATTTTCGCTACTTCCACTACGCTTTCTTCAAAACAATTTTCAATTAGGTAAACTTCTTCTATAACATAAGAATTAGGATAAATCAAATATAGATTATTTTTTTCCCTTATATTTTTTCTTCTTTTCTTTTCCGTAGGTATTGTGTTATGTGATTATTTTCTTAAGCAGGTGCATGGTGCTTTTTCTTAGCTGCCTACTAGAGCAGGAGTAAGGACCATGCAATAGTGCAACATATGGTCCCGACCTTTTCTTTTTTAAATAATGAATCAATACAAGTATTTCATTTAAAAATTACTTATTTAGTTCTAGTCCCCCCAAGGTTAGATTCCCTTTTCTTCATTGTTAAAGCATATATGGGTTTCATATATGGCAATTTGTTAGGATATGAACATTTTAGAAATATTAGGATGTGTGTTCTTCAGGGAACAAAATCGTGACTTACACTTTTCCTTTTTAGTAAACCATGTTTTAAAATATTTTTCATCTCCTCAATATTTGCTCAACTCTGATTTTTATCTGTTTACACCTAGGCCATGGTGGAAGTGATGGGTTGCACGCTTATGTCCATTCTATCGATGATGCTGTTTCTGATATGGTATGTTTCCAAAAAGAAATCTACAAAACGTTTGACAATATATGATAAATGGTGATGTGATTTATCTATTAAGTATCCATAATGGTGGGTTAGTAGTTAATGAGAGATGCAGTGGGTAGGGATAATACTTTTAGATTTTATTATCTGATTGAAAAATATCTTTGTACTGATAAAGAATTTCCTCTTTTTGATAAACAGAAAATGTTTCTGGAGAAGATTCTAAATGAAAATCCAGGGCTTCCATGTTTCTGCTTTGGACACTCAACAGGAGCAGCCATTACTCTTAAGGTTTATTTATTTATTTTAAATAAGATTCTTGCAACCATTAATTATTAGGAAAGGGAAAAGCTCAATAAGTATAAATGATTTGGTTTTTTTGATTTTCTATCTTCATTTTAGGCTATGCTTGACCCAAAGATTGAAGCTCGCATAGCTGGTGCTGTAGTGACATCACCTGCAGTAGGTGTTGCCCCATCTCATCCAATTTTGCTGGTGAGCATACTGTAATCATTCTGTCCAGTTTATGTATCTGATTATAGAAGATACCTGTTGACATCTTCATTTTAGAATCAAAATTGAATTCATAAGAAATGGCCGAGGTTGCTTATTCATCTCCTTGTCCTCTTCATTCCAGGTACTTGCTCCTATAGCTTCAATTTTGCTGCCAAAATATCAATGTAGTTCTGCATATAAGAAGGGGTTGCCAGTGTCTAGAGACCCAGAGGCACTAATTGCTAAATATTCTGACCCATTAGTATGTACTGGATCTCTTAGAGTGCGTACTGGTCATGAGATTCTCAAAATTACAAGCTACTTGCAGCAAAATATGAGAAAATTGAGAGTTCCATTATTTGTTCTCCATGGCACTGCTGATACCGTAACTGATCCTGTTGCTTCTCAAAAATTATATGTAGAAGCCTCCTCAACTGACAAAACCATCAAACTATACGATGGGTACTTACATGACTTACTCTTTGAACCCGAACGAGATGCTATCACACAGGACATAATTCAATGGCTGAACAGTAGAGTATGAGATTTAGTAGTGAAAATATCATGAAAATTTTCAACCATTGAAAATTGAAGAAGAACCTTCTATGGGTGGATAATTTCTGCCTCTTTGTAGAGGAAAGTAAATTGAAGCTGAAGCTACATATGGAGGCATTTTTTATGTTAATTTTTTTTTATAACAAGGAGGTAGACCTTTCTTCATCATTTCATATTTGGAGTAAAGTGATATCTTGGATTGTGACTCTCTGTCTCTCTGTCAAAAGTGAGGATAGAATTCCAATTCTTTGACAAGGAGCACAAATGTCGAATCATCATGTATGAGCTTCAGTTATAGTTTTTTTTTGGTCAAGAGGAGTTTCATTTATAGTTAGGATCAGATCTTTTACTTTTTTCTGGTGGTTATCCATGGAGCACAGAGTACGTGTTTACAATTCCAATTAGGCTTTTGCCCTTTGTCTATTAACGTCCCTGGGTAGAGTTTGTATTGTCCTCTGAATTATTATGACAATCATTTTAAAACACTTCTGTGTATTAAGAGTAAAGACCGAGATAGGTTAGAGGTACAAGTGGTTAAAATATTAAATTCAATATCAAATTGTTTGGACAGTATTTAAGTTTGAATTTTTGTAAAAATAATTTTTAATCAGATTTTACATATCTTTGAGTAGTTTAAGGTGAAATTTGATGTGTAAAAAAAAATATATAGGTTAGATATATTTTGCTATTCCTGGTACATTCAAAAAAAATATAAGTTCTCAATTTAAATCATTATCTTAAATATTATTAGTGAACTTTTGATTAAATTTTAATTTTACATAATTCTTAAATTTTTTCTAAAAAGTTATATATATATATA